AAACGAGTGCCCCCACCATATTGGACGGTACACCCTGTATGTTATGTGGTGAATAGCAAAACATAGCTTTCTCGAATACATCATCCGTGATGCGCTATAAATTACCGCAACGGACAAATAAATCGCCACTTGTAGGCCGAAATAGGGTTGTTGGTGGAAAGCGTCGAGATTCAGATTTTCTTAGACGATAACGACCGCCGTTGGGAATAACAAGTGACCGACCTGACCCGGTCGGATGCCGCGGAAGAGATTAAAACAAAATTATTTATTTATATATATATTTGTTTCAAACGAAAAAATATCTGCTACGAAGATTCCTATACATTCACTAGCCCAGGACCAATAACAACATCTTAAATAGAGATAAACTGTACATAGAAAATGGCAATAAAAAAAAAAAATAAGAATATCAACTATAGCTGTTTAGCTTAAGTTTCAGTGTTTATTTAGGGGAGAATGGAAGAATACCGTTCAGTGGGTAATACCGGTCAATGAAATATCTCTTAAAATATCATAGTTAAAATGTAGACGAGCACAATATAATTTGATAACTGTTGTTACCACAACCTAATAACAGACGTTTTAAAATGATAAACAACTTTTGATAAATAACTACCGATTTTTTTTATCACTTTTGTTGTAATATTTTTCCAAAATGAAACTCATCTCAAATTAAGAATTTATAACTCATTACTACGTTGACTGTTTCTAATATTATATCACAAACTGGCAAGGATTGCATTTATTTGCTCATAATATACCTAAATATTACAGCTTTTAAGTAAATTCATGCATTTAAAAAAAACCAGTACGGTGGGGTCGGGGCATAGTGGGGACGTGGAAGTCACAGGTTTACAGGAATTTTTAAATCTCAAAGGGATAAAATCATTTTTGAAAAAACGGTTCGATGCAAATCGGTAGTTAGTATTTTCAAGCCAGTACAGTCCAAACCAAGCACAGTATAAATCAGCAAAGTTAGATAGTATTAAATTGAGGTGCTGTATTTACAAATAAGCAATCAAAGCGTTAATTTGAAAGTGATTTTATCCGAGAGGACTAGTACAGTAGAGTATAGGCATGATGGAATCAAAACAACGAGGGGACGGAGAGGTCACAGGTCTACAGGAATTATTACAAATAAAAGTGATAAAATTGAATAAAATCACTTGCTATGATATATGGTATGGATACATATGAGTTCTAATTACTGGCAAATTTTCAACTTAAAGGTCTTAAAATTACGGCTAAAAATCCAAAAGAACAAAAAAACTTGTACCCCCCTAGGGAGTGGGAAATAGGTATAATTTAAATTTGATACAACTGGCGTGTGCTGGCTTACCAAATAAATATTCCTTATAAATATCAACTCGATCCGACTCTTTTTCTCGAAATTATAGCCAGTAAAAGTTCTAACTTAAAACTCGAGCGGTTGTGTTTTTTCAAATTTCGGCTGTGAAAAAGTAAACTTTTTCAACTTTTACTCCCCCCCTCCCCCAAAGTACCAACTAGATGAAATTTGTGATTTATAGAGTTGCTGCTCGAAGGAATTGGTCCAGTAGTAAAAAAGTTACAGTGTATACAGATAAAAAAAACACACACACATTAGAGTAAAACCAATACTTTCGCCGCCTTGCACCGAAGCTAAAAAGTCTGATAGGGGTAATACCAGTCAACACTGATGGGGTAAGAACAGTCTAACATAACTTGTGTAACAACCTCACACCTGACTAATACTTCCATTAAACTATGTCTTTGAACATTGTTATCATTGTGCAATAGGTCTGTACTGATAACATGGTATTTTGTATGTTTTTTTAGGAACTTAAATTTTCCCCTATCATTTTACATGTGTTTTTTGCTTAGTATTCTACTCGATATTAAAATATTTATTATTGCGGTGACACCAAAAAAGTTCGTGGTAAGCTTTCAACAAATCGGTGGTTTCATTTTAGGCCAATGCGCGATTTATAAATCATTTCAATTTATTGTTAGAACATTTTTTGTATATTTTCGCAAATCGGCGCACGTGATTTAAAAGTGACACACCGAGTTCAAAAAAGTAAACGAATGTTTAAAAATATGATTTCGAGTGTTGTTTATCGAATTCTCGCCTAAGCGTTTTTACACGAAAACACAATTTTTCGAATAACAAAAACGAGTAAACGTTTTCAAAAATTTACCCAAAAACGTATAGATGTAATTACAATTGTATGACCAAAGTGTTAGCCTGAGTTTACTGTTTTTCTTATATTTTTCCAAAAATATTATTTTGACACCATACGACTGACAATATTGTTTTATCATCAACACGGTGACTATATAATTGGACTCCTCTTGCCCAAGACGGATATGCGATTTAATAAAATATATAACCAAAATTTGTATCCTACTCGTGTACTCCTACTTTGATCTACAAAAAAAATACTTTAAATCCTAATTACAGAATTAAAAAACAAAAAAGTAAACGTTCTATTCATCCAATACACTACACTGATGTTTTATGTCGTTTGTTCAGAACTTTCTTCAGACTAATTATCATTTCTTAAATCTTAAAAATGCGCCAAAAATATGTCAACCATTCTCGCCTGGGGGGTGGGGGGGTGGTCGAAATTTCGGGTTTTCCATGTGCGCTTTTGTTGATGATAGCACATTTTATATTGAAAACGCTAAAGTTAATAAATCGAAAATATTTTCAAAAAAACATAAAATTTCGGCACTGTGCACACGCATGAGAATGCCTGAGTACATTTTTTTTCTCTATCGATAAATATGCATACATAATTTTAGGCAGAAAACAACGTCGATCTAACGACAAAAACAATGTATAAAATTGTCAATGTTTGAATTTCCAATTTTTTTTGTTTTCTTTTGCACATCTTAGTGTTCCTTTTTACACGTTGTGAAATCCGAAGGTCATAGCAAATCGTCGAAACTTGAAAATGTTATCGAATCGGATACACTATTATAGCCGTATAATTTTATAATTACGGCTAAAAAACACAAAAAACTGTGCACCCCTAAAAAAGTAGCAGTCTATACAGACAGCAAGAAAAACCTACACCGTAATTCAAATATATTTCAGATACCAGCTGTTTACTGTTGATTCACCCCCTTACTCATTGTAACCTACAAACCTACTACCGTAACATCGTAATTCCCCCCCCTCCCACCTCTTTAGTTCGGGTTTTCCCTAATAAAACAAAGCTTCACTACAGATTTTTAAGTAAATTTTATGTGCCCCATTCTGGAAAAAACTTGTATGGTATACTAAGTAAACACAACTTTTTTTTTTTTTAATAAGTAAAAACTTTACTATAGCTATAATCAATCTCGAAAGTCTTTTCATATATTCAACTAAACGCCAAGTTTACCGAGTTATACTAATTGGAAAAAAAAACAGTACATATTGGAAAAACAGGATGTGTGATGATGTTCTTTGCGATTTGACAATCAAACGAAGCAAATACTGTTAATTTTAAAATGTCGGTAGTGTTTTGAAAAAGTATTTAAACAGCGAAAATTGTAATAAAAATAATAATTAGGATTGAAGGAAAGATAAACGGAAGGAGTTAAGACGAAAACAATTTCTGGTTGATAAAATAGTTTTTATAAAAAAGGCATAAAGTTGTTAATGTGACATTGCCGGCAACAATGTACTAAAAATTATCCAATAATTATTGCATACAATTTAGTACGAATCATTTTTTTGAGGAAATTCAATTTAAAGATTAAACTTGCTCCCAAATGATCAATTGGAAATACTTTGCAATAATTTTTGCTACCAGATGCTTGTTGTTTTAATTTTAAGCTACTTAGTTAAATCTCAGCCAGACACCAGAAGAGCTAGGTGATAGCTATTTATGCCCACTCCACCTTTACACAAATGTAACGGTACTAGTTATCATAAAATTTCAATTATAACTTAATATGATATTAATGTAGCGAGTGAGGATATTATAGAAAATTGGCAAATCAAATTTAACCAGTATGACGATAATAGGAATAGTTCAATAAAGAGAGCTTTTCAATGATTTACTGTTACAACTTTTAGTAAGTTACATAAAAAAAAAATGTAGGTACTACATTTCACAATTTGCCTATAATATATATTTTGTCCCAAGACGAATAAATTTGTATTTGTGTATAGCAGTCAGCCGTAGCAGCTGAATCGCAAAAAAAAAAGAAGACACATCATGAGTATACTTTAACAACAGCTGTCAACTAAGGCCACCGTTTGTCCGATTGTTTATGACAAATTTCAATATTTTACATAATTATCGTTACTTTTAGTAGTTAGCATCAAAATATCAATTGCCAAAGATTTCTCTGTATTTTCGGCAAAATATTGTTTATTTAAAAAGAAAATCAAGCGTATAAGTTTGCGTTCGAGTTTAAAAAGTCCACCTTTTTTAGACCCCTAGAAAAAGTACTAAACATTTTCAGAGCCGTTATTTGGCCACATTCGTTTACTTTGACTACTTTTTGCTCATCGACAATGAAAACAAAATAATACATCGTTGTAAAGCATACGCCTTACAATAATATACAAGCAATTGGAGACGCTTCAGTTTGTGTAAAAAAATGTTTAAAAAAAAAAAATAAGCGTATTATCATTAATCTATCACTCTGTATATATATATATATATATATAACAGGCTTTTGCGAGATTTCGTTGATCAGTGGACTTATTGGTTCGTCTTGACCAAAAATGAGGCCCCTAATTTTTTTTAACATGGATATGTCATGGAAAAACACTTGTGTGATTCGATGTACGTTTAAGTTTTGCACTGTTTGCATAAATAAAAAATTCAGTGCTCGTTTTTGTTGAAAATATTATACGAATCGTTGGTTTTAGCATTGATTAAATGTCACAGTAAACGGTACGCTCTCTGTCGGTAAAATAAACGACCAAAAATCCCTGGCCGTATTGATCGCCCAGTATTTGAGGAGGGGTGTAATTTTTCATTTTAACGTTGATATCAATGTGTTGTGTTGTGTTCTTGAATAACTATATGACTATCAGTTTACTATCCGGTCTGCGTACGCCTTAATTTTCATCCGGTTTTTTTTTCGCAACTCACTGACGCCTTGCGGTTTTTCTCATTCTTGTAAAACAATAAACGGTTTAGTACCGTAATTCAATTTGTAATAACTTTACCAATTTTGTTGTCTTGCTTGTCCAAAATCACAACGTTTGTCACGAAACTTGTGCATAGAATGTGTAAACTTAACGTGCAATAATTTCTATACAATTAACATTATACATTCTGTTTTTTTTGTGTAATCGACTAATTGAATTTGTGTATAATAAATATAGTTGAATTCAAAGAAATCAGCCATGTCTTTCAACTTTCCAGCGTGTACTTATATTGTTGCCATGATATCAGACGCGTTTTTGATATTTTTTTCAATTTTCCATGTAAGTATCATTGTCTACATCATAGTTCATTGTTGACTAGTACTGATGAGGGTAAATTAATCCTGAAGAAATTGTATTATGTTAAACGCATAAAGGTGGGTTTAAATTATGCGCAACAGTTTTCGCGTACAACAACATTATTTGCCCGACTGCTGTCTTGCACTTCCCATTTACACAGATTGAAATGTTGTGCGAAATAGGGTGAGCTCTTAGTTAGGGTAATACAAGTGATAACCATTTCATCGTATTATGTTGTATCTCCCAATGTTGCATCCGGATTGGCTGTCATGGCAATGCAGTATTTACACAAGAAAAAGAAAATGAAACAAAGTCGCTGTTGGAGGAGTAAGCAAATATTTTTCCGGCCATGCCAATGTTGTATATCCACACTACGGGGAAATTATAAAAAATTTCAATAAAGATATTATTAAAACGTTGTCCTCATGACTGCAGATCCAGTGATTCTGCTTTTCTTTTTCCTTAACCTTTACCTTCTGTAAGACCCCAACAGATTTTTCATTTTTGATATTTTGGTATGGACAGGCAGCTGAAGGGATACGCTCCTTACCTTCCAGGCATCCTCGCTCTTTGGTTTATTATGATGTAGTTTGTTTGTAGGATCCTACATAAATGTATTATTCTTACATAACTGTATAAAGCGGATGCTCTGAATTAATTTGGTTTATTATTGCTGTTCACACTACACAAAACTGGAATTGTGAAACCCTTTAATGGGCGTTTAAAAACACATGAATATGGCTCAATATGCGACTGTTTTTCGCAAAGTGTCAGGGTGAAGATCACGTCTACACTATATTAGTTTTACATTGTGAAAGATTTGTACGAGCAAGTTGCGCGTAATGTATACTCACCTTTACAGCTTTATTTGTCGAAACTATGCAACAATGTAATTAATGATGTTTTTATTTTTTTAAGTACAGTAACCTATATTTTCAAAGTAACAGAGTTATAAACAAATTCTTACATACATTATAAGCTAAACTTTATAGATTTTTTTTAAGAGTAAGAGTTTTTATTATACCGCAAGGGTGTAACGGATATTATAATTAAAGTAAATTGTATGTTCGTTATGAAAAGAAAAACATTTTTGCACTGTAGTAAGAATTTCTTTTCGAAAGACCCCAGAAAAAATGTTACAATATCCCTTCAATTTTTAATATTCTCTTACCAAACATTCACTGAATGCTTTTTAAATATAGACATAATTTAATTTGTGTTTTTCTTTATGATAAGTGTTCTTAAAGATAAGTGATAAGTGTTCTGTATGTGTAATAAAAAAATGTTATATATGTACCTAATTAATTTTTTTTCCAGGTTATTGCTTTTGATGAACTAAAAACTGATAGTAAAAATCCTATAGATCAATGTAACAGCTTAAATCCAGTAAGTTTCAATCAAATATGTTTGATAATATTTGCATTTAATATTAGCTTGAAAATTTTACCTGATGGTTAAACACGGTTTTAGACTCTGGCATAAAAATTAAGTTTAAAAAATATTGTAAAAAAGTTAAGTTTATTTTTTCTTTTTCCAGTTAGTGATTCCAGAGTACCTTCTGCACTTCATCTTTAACTTTTTATTCTTATTTGCTGGACAATGGTTTTCTATTGCCGTCAACATACCTCTTATGGCGTATCACATCAACAAGTAAGATTACTAAAGTTATTAATAGCGAGATGTATTGTAAAAGACAAAAATTATTATTATCGTTTTAATTTTAGGTATCGAAACAGACCAATTGGCATGTCTGGTTTCGGTCTATATGATCCAACAAGTATAATGAATGCGGATAAACTATCCAAATATCAACGTGAAGGATGGATAAAATTGGCATTTTACTTGTTTTCTTTCTTCTTTTATTTGTATGGGTAAGTAAGACTAGAGCCTGTCAAATAAGGCTTAAAGTTGTACGTGTTCTAGTCTAGTTTTTTGAATTTATTACAAAACCTTACTATTTTTTTTCAATTTTTTAATTTCCTAAAATTTTACTTTTTTAAAGGCAACATAATTATATAAATAAGACAATGATAATGATAATGGTAATTGCACTTGTTTCCTTAAACAATAAATTAACATCACATTTGTGACGAGGAAAAAAAATACAAAGCCTTCGTCACAAAAAAAAAGGCATAGTTATATGTAGTTTAAACTTAAAAAAATATAATTTGCTACAATGTGTTACAATAATTAAGGTTTGGGAATTAATTTTCAATAGTAATCATAAACATTAAATGATAATGTTGTTTATATCTTGAAGAAAAATGTGGTAAAGTAAATATTAATAATTCATTGTTTAAAATATTAATGGGAAATTTTGACGTTCTGGAAAAAACAAATAAGTAATTTTTAAAAACAAAATATGTTTTTGACATTTTTAACTACAAAATTAATGAAACAGCACCTAACACTTGTCAATATTTATAATAATTTGAACTCTCTTTAATAACAACTAAATATTGTTTGTGCCAAAAAAATATAATATTTCATCTGAGCTTGTTGTAAATTAGTTCATATTAATTATACTGATAAATTTTATTTTTTAAATTATTTTACAGAATGATTCGTGCATTGATAACTGTATAAGAGCCAAAATGTATTTCACAAGTATTTAGTTTAAACAATTAAACTACTCACTGCTCAGTTTACAAGTCAAGAGTTTGCAACTCACAACAAATTAGTTTTTAAGTCTTTCTATTATATATTATTATTTGTGTTATTTAAGTTATTATTATTTATTTATTAGATTACATTCAATCTTAAGCATTATAACTTTTGCTACCTCTTTCTCTATTCATCCAAAGGAATTAAACTATTATGTTTGTCATATTATTATTATTATTAAAAAAAAAACAAATGTATTAGGGCCCAATAACAATTTCGATCAACGAACGTTCGCGTTTCAAATATTTTAAATGTTTTATTTATTATTAAATGTATTTAACACATTCAAACAATACAAATACTTTTCTGTTATTTCTTTATTATTTGTGAGGTGTACAAATACTGTAAAAAGTATGATTTTAATTTACAGTTTGAATATGTTCTCTAATTATTTCTGTCTTCACATAAAAATAAAATTATTCTTAAGACAATTTTCAAATTATTTTTTTTTTAATAAATGAATATTTACAAAAAGGGCATTTTGTATGTTTTTACATTTTACTTATTAATCTAAGTCTTTAAATTTGAATAGTCAACCTTTTAACTTTGATGCAGAGATAAAAAAGTGTTGTATTTACAGTGATGTGTTTTTTTAAATAAGGGAAAAAGCCAATAGGTATCTGAAAAATAGTTTTATTATGTTGTTAATTCCGATAGGTATATATAGGAAACAGCAGCAATAAATTAGATAGCAGTCGGTCACTCCGAATCGTATTTATGATTTGTACTTTACCATCTACAAATACGCATTAAAGCGTTTATTTGAAAGTGATTTTATCACTTTCGTGCTGGCTGTTTATTACCATTAACAATGTTTTTTGGAATAACTTAAATATTGTATTATTGTATAAAAAAAAAAACAATTTAGCTTGAAATGTTAAACAATTAAGATGAAAAAAAAAACATTTAGTATAACTCATATTTTTAAAACTATGTAGTATTAAACGTACATAAGTTAACAACAATTGTATAATTTATTTTGAACTAAATCCTATAATTATTATGGCTTGTCTAAACCTATTTGCTTTATTGACTGTCAAGTTGTACAATTCTATTAAGTATATCTTAATTTTGTATTATTTCTATACTAGCGTATTGCATGATATAAAATTAAATAATATGTAAACGAAAAAACTAGTTTTGTACTAACGGTTTTCTACTTAGTTAAAATGTATCATACATAATATATACTGATATGTATGTATCGTTTATGTTAAGTGCAACTTGTAACAAAGTTTTATTCGAGCGATTAGCGGTCGAAAATGTGTGCACACAATTACAGATTTTTTTTAGAAAACATTTCAACTTATTGTCTGGAAGAATTTGTTTGAATTTATTTTCATATTAATGAAGACTTCTTATAATGAAAAGTACCTTCTTATAAGACTAATTCGATAATGAGTAACACTTTTTAAATTTTAATACATATATAACTTTTATTCAAAGACTCGTATACACATAATACATACCTAGATTGTAGGATTAACGTCTAAAAGTCTAAAGGAAAGTAAAAATTATTTGAAAAAGTATCTCAAACTCAAAATAGAAATAATTTCAACAAAAAGTCAAATAGTGTGCAAAACTCTATTTTTATCAATGTGTAAATTTAAGGGTTGCTCCGATATTTATTAGGGCCCGCTTCGACTAAAGGCTTATGTTATATTGAATTTATCTTTTTTTTTAATCTCTTAAATCAGGCGTGGATCCAACGTTCATTAACTGGAGGATCGGATTAAAATAAAATTATATACTAACACCACTTCCCTCTCAAAAAAAAAAATGAATACAATGAATTCGATTTTTTATTTTCGAAATGTTTTTTTTTTACTTATCTTTTTTTAATGTGACCACATTTTTGTGATGAGAAAAATGATAATGAATATTATTCTTTGAGAGGTCTCCAATGGTTTTCAAGCAGTTTCCTAATCATTAATAATGATTGTAAGCAATTAACAAAATAATATAGCATTATGCTTTTTCAATTATTTTTTTTTTTTGTAAAAACCCTAAAGCTGTCGTGCGACGGTGCGGACATTAGTCTGTGTTCTCTCTGATACCGATTCAATTTGTAGTATTATTTAAAATTAATTTATGAACAATAATTGCAAAATGAAGTATTTTTTAACCAGATAAGAAACTGTACTAAGTCCAAAAAATAAATAAATTGTAAGATACAGCCAACAAGGGGGACGGACATCCCATACTGACTCCCCTGGATTCACGCCTATCTTAAATAGTTTGTAAAGCAAAAGTGTTTTTAAGTACAATTCGTTACTATTATGTTATGGTCGGCGGTGTATACTAAATATAAAGCTTAAATCACTGGTGGGAATTATTTTTGTTAACATTTGTGGTTGTCTACTACTTTTGGCCACGGATATTCGTAAAAGGCCCAGTGTTGAGCGCACCCGTTTCTCTAATAATGTCGTTGACGTTTATGATTGAAAACAAGTGAGAACTGCCGTTGTCGGTACAACTTCGCCATGGGTTTTGGCCGGTAGTCGATTTGTTCGGTTTAGACTGATCCAATGGTCTCGCCAGGAAATGATGACGGTCGTGTTTGCTCTTAAGATCCATGTTGGAAAACACGTGTTTGAACGAGTCCTTGATGTCGATTGTCTTGAGTGTCAACGCGTTTTTCTTGGCTTTCTTCTTGAACAAGTGCGCGTGCTCGTCGTTGCCCAAGTGCCGGTTGCGATAAGTCCGTTTGCGTTTCTTGTCCCTCTTTTTGGAATTTTGGCTTGAACCCTTTGGCTGCTGGGCCAGCACGCCGGTGGACTTGAAGTAATCCGAACAAGTGAGCACCACACATCGGCCTATAGTGTAGACTGCAAAGGTCGTATAAGGGAAACGCACAGGTTAAGTCACTGGGATAGTGTCTGGGGTGGGTCATATAATGTGGGCCAGGAGAGGGGCGAATCGAATCCGTAGCCCGGTGTTGTTAAACTATATCAATGTCTCTATAAAAACAGATAATTTACAGTTCGAAAAAAAACCAATGATCCTCTGCACTGTCATCGACGTACATTTAAATGGCGATGGGGGGAATTGAACGTTTTTAAATTAGGGTTGTTAAATTGGTCTATGGTTATATCTCTCGTTAAAAAATAAAATCTTTTGAGGAAAATTACTTTAAGTTATACGGTTTTTGGTATCCCTAGCCATCTCCCCTAATTTCAGCCAATGTTCACTGCCGATACCCAAAATTAGACTAACGTTTCAAAATCGTTCTACTGGAAAATACTTTAGGCCTAATGCGAGCATTTTCGGCATAAACCAAACCGTTTATCAGCCCGATGAAATGTTTTGTCAGGCAATCCGGGCAAAAGTTTTCCTGAGATTAATCAAAAACGCCTCGCTCGAAGTCAAGAATACTTGTTGTTTTCAACTACCGTAGCAATTTTTGAATTGTCGTGTAATTGCCTTGTATGGTGACGGCAAGCTCTTCCGTACCGACGGATTCCATTAACCGTACACAGACCATAATAGGGATAGGGAATATTATTTAGGGGTACCCCAGGGATTTGTCAAGCCGAGTGCGGGCTTTTAATTGACATTTTGTCGGCTGACAAAGAGTTTCACATACCTACCCGTCTATTGCGTTCTATATTTCTATCTCTGCCCTGTAATCGGTGCACTTTGCAGACAGGTTTTTATTAACGATTTTAAAGGATACACGATTCTTCGTTGAACGCGATCATGGTTTTTGGCGAAACTCTGTATCCGTAATGGGACACGAACAGAGAGTAGCAGTTCACTTTGTCTTTGAGGGATTGACACAAAAGCCTGGCAACAAAAAAATGATTTTTTTTAAAATAACATCCTCGACTTTTTCAAATACATTATTATTATACACCTGCGTATTTTTGGTCGAAAACAACTCACTATACTTCAAACGTACTGTTTTCTTAAGAATACTCCGATTAAAGTTTTGAAAAAATATTTGAGTTCTTCATGACATTTTCAAGGTATAAATTGTGGCATAATTTGAAATGTTTTTTCGTTCATTTATTATTCTCAGAGCATAATTTTTAAGCAAACAAAATACAATATTGGTTTTTTCATTAGTTAATGTCTGATTATATCTACATGTATTTTATTGGTTTAATTTATTTTTAAAAAAATACCATTGTTTAATCATAATGGTTAGGATCGTCTAAACAAAAATCATACTTTTTAAAATCTTATTATACCTATTGAAGTAGTTCAAATAGGTAAAATATTTGTGGTACATCGGATAATGCTATTTCTGGTTAAACGGCTGAGCATATAGCATTAAATTCCAGAAAATTTAATTTGGGTCGGTTTCGATTACTCTCAGGGCGTTCCACAAATACAACAAGACTTTCGATTCTCAGTAAGTAACCCTTTGATTTCGGTATGATATTTGATTTAGGTACACAATATCCAAAATTCTAAAACACTATATCTACATATCTTGTTTATCTTATAATCGTGCAATGTTTAAACATTTCAATAATAGTTGCGCCAAAAATGTAATTCAACTGTCGACAGCTGCTGTTATATCATGTTTTACAGTTTTGGAATCCAAATAGCTTAAGCAATTGTTTACCCAAAAACAATTATTGTCACTGACGTTACCAACTAATGGCTATTTTATTTTATCAAACAAACAACAAAAGGCCATCGTGTGTGTATTTGATGTATTGATCTGTATATAGGTACATTATGCATGGACCCATATGTGTTTTATATAATAATATTTAAATAATGGGAATCATTAAAGGGGGGGGGGTGGGTTAAGGAAAGATAACTCTTCTCTGGCTTTGAACATTTTGGTGTCTCTCGGATTAATAAAAAAAGATTAATTCCCAATTTTGATTTTTACCGAGACGGACGACTTTGGTGCAGATTTACATATAATATACAAACGTTAACCCAGCCGATTTAGATGAAGTTTTAAGTAACCGTTTCCAAGGAAGGGTAGGTTAGATAAAGTGCACCAATTTGGGCTTTATCTATCAAGAGTCCTCGACCCTCGTTTTATGAATTTCCGGTAAATTGTTTTTTTTTAAATGCTGGTCTAGCATAATAATTATAGCTATACATAGCTTGTATATATATATACATTTTAACAGATGAAGAAGTGTTTGACACGATAGCGGTTAGATGGATATTTGGTTTCGGCTCCTTTAAATAATAGGTAACCACGTCAATTATTACTATTTCTAGTAAAATATATAAAAAAATACTTTAAGTATTAGTATTTGATTTCTACACGGATAGATAGCGCTGTAGAAAACGCAAATTAACCGAATTGGATTTTCATTTTTTCAGTAATATTTAGTACATTCAAAGCACATATTTTTTTTGAACAAAAAAAAATCGTGCAGTGTAGAATTAATAAAACAATTTTGGACATAGTTTTTATCGGGATAGTTTTTCTTTTGGACATTTACCCGTACACTCTAGATGTACGTTACAGCAAAATAAACATGAAAAATTACTTACTTATCTACATTTTTATGGCTTTTAGCAAATTGTGTCTAACCATCTATTTGGAAAGTAAGGAATCATTCAGAACAGGCGCAGAAAAAATTATTTTTTAAAGGAAAATACAAGTATTGGCGAAGCAAAAACCTTATAGATTTTGTTATTCTCCATATAGGGACTGAGATATGGATCAAAGGGGCTATAACTGTATATGGTCGAACACCCACAGGTTATTGAACAAGCTCCCAGAAAACCCGGAATCTTTACCAAAAAACACTAGATTGAAAAATAAAGATTTATTTGGAGAGAACAAATAAATTGATCATTGAAAATATTGTTTAAAATAATGATTTAAAAAGTTAATCTTTCATATTGTTTAATACAGAATTAGTATTTCCAAAGCAGGTATGAACTTAGGTACTATTGTAACTACTCATTTTTTTTTTTATTCAAAATCCCTTCGTAGGCAATTATAACAATAATAATAGAGATCTATTTATTTTGCAAATCATAAATCATGTTAAAATACAATTATTTTTTAAATTAATATATTGGTTTGCAGACAGTAGATGTTAAGCAATTATGAATTTTTGACATTGCTCGTAAGTAGGTACAATACTATCATGCCATTAATTATCTGTTAAGGTTATTCCCGATGTTTTAAGGAATAATTTATGATCAAACGAACGGCGAAGCTCGGAAACTTTGTTTAGTGTTTTCCCTAGAGGAGTGAACGGTTCCCTTGATGATAGGTCCCCTATACTAGCAAATAATTGCATTAGTTTGACTAAAAGCTAATGTATCATCGCACGGTGGTTGGCCATCACAAGTGATAAACTAACATCTAGACCGAGTTGTTACTTTTGTAATACCTACATGTATTCGACCGTCTAGTGTGTGTGGTAAGTTTGTCTTTTAACTTCAACTTTATTTGCAATCGCATCGGCCACGACTTAATAACAAATCACTCGCATCTAACCTATAGGGGTGGGTAGATGTGTGATGTAGGTGACTATAGTTTTATAAAAGTAATTTCACATTGTATACCTTTAATATATTTTGGTAATTAGAAGTAAAACGTTTAAAAGAGGTCCAGATCTATTCAACTTTTGATTACCTAGCTACAATTTCCGTTAAAACTTTAATTTGCAATTAATTTTAAATTAAAGATATGTGTTTAGATTGTGAACAAGTAACTAAAGATTTATTAATAACACTTAATTTTTCACGTACATCTAACATTGGAAGTATCCTAATTTTCATATTTGACCATATTGTATAAAAATTGTATTCTTTTGGTAAATTTCGAATGGATAAATCTAAAATTGTCTTAAAATCATAGTTATTCAGTGATTAAGCAAGAACTTTTTTTATATATTCAATGAATAATATCGGTCTGATTTTTCTTTCTTAGTTCTTAAAACTGCACTTGAAATGTAAAAAAAATATCTAACGTTAAGGAATAATATATTTTTACTACGAGTATTAGCTGTTTAACTATATGAAATGAAAAAATACAAAATGTAGCCTTATTATTGTCATAGAGTGCACATTTTAATAAGAAATATTCCTAACCAAAATAATGAAAGAGGTTAAAGCAGTTATCACTTTGGGGACGCAAGTTAGATTTTTGGTTATCATAAAATATAAGAATAAAACTGAAAGCAACAAAATGCATTGTGTTAAAGTCTAGCCCCTAGGGGTGTATGAGTGTAAGACTCATTTTTAATATCTTGGCGTCTCTGTGTAAACCAAGTTTGGCGCCACTCACTTCACTTACAAAGAGAAAGAGAAAAAGAAAAAGCGAGAACAATAGAGAGACATAGGGTTTGCGTCGGAAGTCAAAATGTATTATTAAATAAATGTATATCTGTTTCGAGACCGTCGAGCTTAAAGTATTAATTTTTAAATTTGAGAAACGGTCGCTTTTGAATTTATTAATAAAAAAAAACCTTTCCCGTTATTATGACATGATATTCTGTATGTGGGTGCTACTACCGAGTTAATGGAGTATTTACATTGAAAAGAACGACCCTTAATGAGATTATCGGTGTACCTGGGATATACTAATATGCTTTGATAACCTCTTCACTTCTGTTGTACATATTTTGAAAATTATTTTATTATTTATGTATGTTTTTATCTGAAAATCGCCTCTTAAAAGAAAAAAAACTAAATTGAAAATAAGTTTTTTTTTCACATCTGCGACGTCAAGCACTTATACTTGAACACTATTATGGCTATCCTAAAAAGCAACGAGGAAGTAAAATTAGGCTAATAGTCATTTAGTTGTACTTACCTGCGCGAAGTACCGCATTTCCTTGAATCCCTGTTGCACATTGTGTATGAAGATTCGTGTCCCGTTTTCATGTGCTGTGCCAACAGTTTGGGAAACAATATATGTTTTTCGTATCTGTAAAGAAAAAAAAAACACTTAATTTCTTTGTAAAAAACATGGAAAAGTGGATTATTAAAAATGATGTTAGGCACTATGTTTTATTTGTGTTTTGGAAGGAACCATGTATTATCGTATGTATTCATTTTGCAACAATTTTAAGAAAGTATAAAAATAACAAACAACTTGGTCCTGTTTTTTAAGAGAGAAAATAGTATTTTATTTAAAAGAAAAACCTCGTTGCTCGAATGTGGGTGTTATGATATACTAATAACGGCTGAACATTATGCATAAAAATAATACATTTAATCAAACAAGATATGTGAAAGCCGGATTTAAAAATACGTTTAGTTTCCTTTAAAAAAAATATGTATCCCTTTTTTAATAACGTTGGTGGGTTCGACGTACAAGTGCGGTTGTCGATCTGAACCGGAAAAAGTAATTTATTATGTTTGTACTTACCTTGGTTCAAGTGATAATGCATTATTCAGACGGGAATTGTTCTCGGAATTTAATAATTTAATAACGCTGTACTAAGGTCTGTACACAATATAATATAATATAAACTGTATGCTATAAGCAATATAGTGGTATAGGTTATACACACTGTGTACACATATTGTCTGCGACTTTATGCGGTAGGTATATATACATATAGTATGTAAATGGAGTTAGACAATTAAATCCACGGGACACTCTAAAAGCCGTTCGGTAGAGTTTTGAACAGGGTTGCTTGGTGTGTCTCATGTAAACATTATTGTAGCCGACTAAAAGGTCTACACGATAAGTTTAGATTTTATAATAATTCAATAGGCACATTGGTAGGTATATACTTGTCATACATTTTCCAACGTGAACGGATATCCTCAACATTATCAACAAAACGCGCTCATGTGGAAGACACTCGTAGAGTTGCCCACGGTGTGTTATATAATATATCACAAAATGCTTCGCACATAAATGACTGTAATGGAAGCCATCTTAAATAATATAACGTATTAATTTAATTTGCAGTACCTACTTGAAAGACAAAACGTTGGGCATTAATACTGATTGCACGTCGCAAAGTGCAAACACAATCTCTGTGTAGACAATAGACTGAATTATCCTAGCTAAGTAATAAGACGAGATAGGTTGAATAAATTCGTTTTATGTTTCCCCCTCCGTTTTCAAGTCTTGTTTGTTTCGGGGATTTGATGAAGATGGCGCCGAGATATCTTCAGATTTTTTCCCATTAAAAAGCACAAACAGAGTTTAATTAAATAACGAATAACAAACCGAAAAAACAAATCGAATGAATTATTAATTGAAACACAAATTATTTTAAAGTTTCAGATATTTATACACTATATGTCTCATTATTAATTAAAAATACTATTTTACAACTTTTACTCTCAAAGTGCATTTTATGGATAATTTAATACTTTCTGTAATTTTATAGGTTATAGGTAAGTGGTAACATAACATTTAGGTAATGTTCCAATATAATTAAATTTTCCATAAAGGTATAAAGTGCTTGGAAAGCATAACACTACGCTCTTCACGTTGTTTGCTTGACCATTATGTTATTGACAAACCCGAAATATTACCGATCATTATTATTTTATAATTCCTCAGTTCAATTCCACAACATAATTTTCTCGTGAACATAATTCTGTGTTTCATCGTAAAATATTTAAACGAGGGTAGAGAATCATTATCATTATTATATTGAAAAATTAAATAACTAAAAAAAACTCTTTCGTTTTTGCTGGATTTATGTTGTTTGGTCAAAAGCTACACAAAAGTAGTTTCGACTTTTATCACGCCAAAGTGAATAGTATTTTTTTCTGAACAACAAAGTTTTGTAAAAAAAAGTTCGGCCTATAAATAAAGTTTGAACGAAGGCAAAAATAAAATAATTGTAAACCCAGAACGTTTTTCAGATCCGCTTTAAAGATAGAACTATAAGTTACTATCATTAAATATTAAAAGTTATACGATAAAACTTAGGCTAAATGTACAAGTACCATTATCTTGATCTCGATATGTCACAATGACTTTACAGTTTTTACCGAATGATGTATTCAGACTTCAGTATTTATAAAATAAGTGATTAAACGGTATTAGAAGTATTAATACCGTTTATACTAATTTTATTGCATACCGTCACATGTGAAATATATATATTTACTATCTATAAATTATTATATTTATTCAGCGGGATCAAAAGGATCAATGTAGATTATTTGACAAAAATTAATAGGTAGGACCACTCTCATGGACACTTTCTAAAACACTATTAAAATTGAGTAAATAAATTGCACTCCTAGTAAAATGACTGGAAAAAGGATGAAAATGTAAAAATGATCAAACATGAATAATTTTTCCATGACTTATTCAAATATCTAGTTTTCAAAAATAGTTATTTAACTTTAACATTTTTTTACACATTTTAAAGGTTTTAAAAAATTTTAAATGAATTCCAGAAATGTTATTTCCGGTACTTTAAACTTATTACAACCGGCCGGTACCAATACCGATCCTTAGAGATTATTTTTAATTCGGTGCCAACTCCTTCCGGGTGTGCATTTAAAATCAAACTGTTTTTGCAGTTATGTAAAAAAAAATATAATAATTTGTGTCATAACTCATAAGTATAATATTATGCTATACATTAATTACCTGTATACGTCGTCATATGTATTTCCATAGGTAAAAACGCCGTGTAGAGATGAGTGGGCGTGCACATCGATTACCAAGTCCAGTTCTATTTTCTAAAATCAAAATATTCAATTAAGTCTTATTCGATTTCAATTTTCATCTATCGTAAGGAATTGGATAACAATATAATACTTATATCCACATCACATTTGGGAAATTATAAAGTATACTTTTGGTTCATAATTATACTTAAATAAATATAATATATAAATATTAACTATAAACAAGTAACAACATGTAAAAACGTTCAAAATCGACGACCTTTGTCTAAGATGATCTTTCTATTTAGAGGTTTATAGGTAGATCATCTTAGACCACTATACAGTTTGTACAATATACATATTATAGGTATCGATTATAAATTAAAATATTAAAATCTAAGATATTTACAGTTTTGATCTTTAGTGAAAAAATAATTAATCCGTGTAGATACTTTTATCTCTTAAAGTTTACTTAGTATAAGTGATAAACAAATCATTTAAAATAATATATACTAGAATGTGTATAAGTATGTGAATATTAGGTAATCATTTTGACTTGTTTTTGTTTTTAGCCTACAAAATATGTAATATGTTTTTTATGGTATAAATGTCATACACTATTCCTAACACGAAATTATTCAATACAGTTAACTTGTGATTAAACATGACGTATTTGCCCGATTTCTGTTTTCTTAGCAGCGGTAAGTTAGGCAGATAACCCGATTAATGTCTTTATTAATGCATTCTAGATCTTAAAGTATAAAATAGTTATGTTGAAAATGCTTAAAATATTTTTTGATCATTCAAAAACAAGAATATTTATATATATTTTTACTATGTTTAAAATAAAAACATTCTTGGAATAAATTTAGCCTACTAAATCAATTCATTTTTAATTTTTTAATTACCTGCGCGGCTGTGAAGTTAGATTTCGCCGAAGGGACTTACTTTTAAAGCAAAAACTTAATAAACCGAAACACGAAAAATTGAATTAACTTAATTTTAAAAAAAATGCAATAACTTGTTTTAAAAATGATTTAGGAAAATCTACTTAGTTGAAATAAGAAATAACCTTGCGTGTTTTCTTTTTATGAAGATAGTATTCTCTTAGGTACTTTCCAGTTGACTTGACAGTCATTTTTTTTTTTTTTTTTGTTCGTTGATTACATGGCCTTAACTTTTAAGCAAACAGCATTCGTTTAATTTAGTCGTCTGCACTCTCTGGTTCACAGAGGGAAATATTTATCGCGTGATTGCACAAAATATTTTCGACGTGAAAAAAAATGATAATTTAAGTAAAAAAAGGGGCCTAAACTTTCTTTTATACCCGAGTTTAAAAATCTTTACCAGTTTCTAACCAATGTGTTTAGCATAACGTACCTCGTTGCCGTTGATTTCCATCAAATGGTTGTGAACAGCGTGTAACGTCGGATGAACCCATTGTGATATTTTGTGCCAAGCTCTATTCAAATCAATTCCCAACAGATTGGTCCTGAAACAAACGGCAAAACTTTATAAACCTCATTAAAATACAGGGTGATTTGGTTATTATAACCCAGTCAATATCTTAGAAGATATTACAATTTTTTTAAATTATTATTTTTTATACTTTAATAGTAGTTTGCCCAAATTAAACTAAATTTATTTTTCAGAATTATAACTTAACCTATGGGAGAAAGGATGAAGTGTAAATTGACGGCGTTTATTTTGTTTTCTAATTGGTTGCATTGAGACAATATAAAAAAACAATTATATTTCCAAAAGCTAATTATCTTCTTTCATTAATTAGTAATACTTTAAGTAATTTTTCTTGTAGTGCTTGGTACTAAATTACCGCATTTTAGAAATGTTGATTAACATAAATTTATGATACATTCTGTATAATTACATTACATAAGTCTGAAGTCTTAAGCGTAATATTAAGTTTATTAATTTATACCAGGAAATTACCTATACTAACTGTTGTCAGGATTAAAAAAAAATACATATATAACAGTGATAGTAAGTAGTCATTTGTGATTGAGTCAAGTAGCCAGCTTACCTCTGCACTGTATCAGTTGTGTGCTTGATTTTTTTTTAAATGGGAGAGGATAAGGTTACTATTTAAAAAGCACCCTATAAATATTTGTAAAATATATGAAATTCGGTTAAATATAAATTATATTATTGACACACACAAAAAAAAAGGCCCACGGGGTAGTTATATTTCCCCTTATTTTCTCATAATATATAGGTTACCATTAGCGACACGCTTATTAGCATAAAGCCACAATGGCAACACCTAATGTGCACGTTGTCTGCCGGTAATAACAATACAAATTTTAACGAACAACAAGACGTGGAGACGGTAATTTGTAGCCGCATTAAGATATTATACAGCAAACTCGGTACGTTATTATCAATATAATAATTCTCGTTAATGTTATTTTTCCGGTGGAAATTACACAGAACGTGCAAGTCGAGCAACCCAGGCCGGCGGAGTAGAAGGGCTTTTAAATCAAACTCCAGGCAAAACAACCGAAGAAATACCCCACGTATTAGTGTGTTTGTGGCTTAAAGTTAAAACCTTGGATTTTAGTCGTTATTATGGAAAACCTTTGATTTACTGCCCGGGATTTTGCAAATAATTCATCCAAAAGCAAAGGTACATAATAATATGTTGTATTTGGTTCAACGGAGAATACCTAACTGACGTTCAGGAGGATTGTATTATGTGACTGCAGGGTTGTGTGAAATTCTGTGGCAATATCGTTAATAAATGTTTAAATAAGATTTTAATGTATAAAGAGCGAATTTCTTACAGGTTAACGTCAAGACCCAATCGGTTGTGCGCCAGACGTTTTCCGCCGGTAATAGGAAATTCGATTTAAAACTCAATTACTGTATGCTTCTTTGATTGACTTTCCATTATAAAAAAAAACGTTATTTTCATTATAAAAGGCTACGGTTACGGCTACACTCGTTAACTTGTATATACTAGTTTTTGGATGCAGCTCAATTTATAATGCTTTATGTAATACAGCGTAAACCAATTTCACAACCGCAACGTTATTGGATTCAACAGTCTTTAAATTGTATAAATGCAATTCGATTTCATACAGTGTTCAAAAAAAAACCCCCGTAAAACCCATTAAAATATAATATCCAGCGAACGCTCATCGGTGTGATGAAAAATTACTTTACGTTGCTTTTATTTGGATCAACAATAACAGCTGTTGTATGTACATTTTCAATTGGTTCAATATTTGGTAATAAGGTTTCGGCCTCCAAAAAATGCCACCACGTGTCTCAGAAATGATTGAATTTTTTTCTTTCTTGAGAATTATTGTAGGTCAGATTATCGTGTACTTATGTTACCTGGAATTGCCGAGAGTCACTCCATCCGGATTTATCATGGGAATTATTTGGAATACGATTTTTTTCCTAAGGCGCACCACAGTCGGATGGTTGCTGATCAAAAATTCTACGATACCTGAAATCAAACAGGTCGGTTAACCTATATACCTTATTGTGTTGAATATTTTATACTTGAGTACTCAACCTTGGCAAACGTAAGAGCTCGAAGTGTCGGCTCCGTGCACTCTTCCCATTATCACGACCACGTGCGTTTTCTCCGTGGTATTCATGTTTTTTGGATTCGTAATCGTGATCAGATCCAGCCTTCTGTTTTGCTTAAGTACAAATTAGGTAATTTTCTATTGTTAGGAGATGGTTAGATGGGACGTCGCAAAGAAAAAAGCAGCACAGTCTGTACCCGTAGTTTAAATTGTAATAATTATTAAATGTATACTTGAGGCATCCAAATGTTCAAATATGTAAAAATGTGACTTTGTTTTGCATGTGTAGTCAATTTAAGAAACATAAAGTCTGGTGTGAATATAGTGAACCTCAAACAAGTATTGTCGGTTTAATGATATAGGAAATATTGATTAGCTAGCCAGCTTTTACTTAATGGAAAATATTTATTTTACTCCTTGTACGGTCTAAACTTTAGTATGGTTCAGTGTTGTAGTCACATGCATATTTGATTTAAGGATTTTTAAAACTACCGTTTTGAATTTATTTTCCTCTTGTGTTATAATAATTGTCAGACTAATTATCAAATAGTGATAATTTTTTCTTTGTCCTTTAACGTTAAATAATAAGCTTTGTTGTAAGATTTTTAAAAGGCGTTTCACATAAACGTCATAAAAAAATGAACAAGCAATAAGGCTAAGACTGAACTTGTATATTCCTAAGCACTTTATCCGCAACGAAAATTGAAAAGTGCACATAAAATAATGTTTTATGCAAAGTTTATCAACGGTGTACGGTTGCTGAACTTTTAGTTGTTCGATGCAATTAATGGTGATATCGTTAGAGCGGTAATTTACACAGACCGTCGAACTTTGTTATATACAACATAATCATATCGAAGGACTGAGGAGCTATAATTAATTTCGAGGGCCCTAATATTATTTTCCAGGTAATTGGATGAGTAAAACTTTACCATAAAAAGGACAAAGAGAAGTTGTACATTTTTCATAACTTTCTAGAGTTTAATAATTTATTCAATTCTATCGTTACGGTTAGTTTTCGTTATGTTCGTTTTATGTTCAATATAACAATTGCAATAGTGGCTCGGGGGACTGCAAGGGAAAATATCTTTACTTTGGTTATTAGGTGATTTGTCAATATGATTATTGTCTAAAAGTGTACTACAACAAGTAGGACTAACGTTGCTCTCGACAAATGGTTTATATTTGTGTATGATATGTGGCGAAATTAATAATGGAGAGATCAAGTGGAAGGAGGTCATTGGGGAGACTACGTCTAAAATGGTTTGACACAGTGAGGTGGTACTTAACGATATTAAATGTAAAATTGAAAGGGTCGGGTAGAATGAAACGAAATAGTCTTAATGGGCTAACACCGACTTCTCTCCAATGGCGCAATTTTGTGGGTTGAGGACAATAGTACTTGTAGTTTTGGTAGGTATGAGCTTATTGTTTTTTTTTTTAGTATAATTTGACATGTTTTGATTTTAGTTCCGTTTCATTGGTCAAGCGTTCTCGAGGTTAATTTTACTTTGAAAAAATGTTGTGCTGCTTTTTTCCTTGTCCGGTGGAAACAATTTATTGTCATTTCGACGCTACTGAGGTTCATGTTAATATTACTATGGATTTTCCCAGGAGTTCTCGTTTGAAAAACGACAGTTTCTTTTTCTCCACCAAAGACAAATAGTTCTGAAGCCGCGAATACGAATACGGATACGTGTACGAAAACTGATAGCTATCGTCGTCCTTGTCAAACGAAAATAATATGCTCAGCACGTAGTTGTTGTGGTGGTACGGCGACCGATGATAGTGAGTCCTGTTCAGAGGTATACGAGACCTGGTGAAAAAAAAAAGACTATAAAAGTATAAAAATTATTTTTAAAATACCTTCTCAATAGGTTTTCTTCTCATGATGTAGCGGCGACAAGGACTCGTTGAATAAAGCGAGAACTCCTGCACGAGAAACCTGATTGATTTGGTAGGATTCTCTTAACCGGAGTCTTATTTAAGCAACGCATAGGAAATACTTTATACTTCCGGTGTCATTAGACTTAGTTCTAACGTGCTAATGCCGGGTTGCTTAAACGTTTCATAAACCAATAGATGTTTAATGGTTCTATAAACATAATTTAGTGGCTCACGATTGGTCCATTAAGTTTTAACGAACCATTAAATGTATTCATTTATTATGTAATCCAGCATATAACTGGGTTAAAGACAACTGCTCTACTAGATTAGGAGAAATTAAGTTAGTTTAGGCACTTCCAAATAATTAATTGAGGGACAAACTCGATAAAAACTACCGCATTTAATAACTGTTTCGCACATATGATTTCTATAGGCGTTATTTGAGTTCTACATTTCAACTTTCCCCTTCGATAAAAAATATACAGGCTGTCCCAGAGTCAATGCAGCACACTATGAGGCCATACTTCAAGGAAAAATGTTTTGAATTTTTTTCAAACAAAAATAATAATTATTTTATGATATTTTCAATAAAATTATTTTAAAGCTGACGTGCCACTCGACTGTGATAATTATTTATGGGTATACTATGAGTAAAGTTAATTACATTTTAACTTTTAAATTTGTTAAGTTTAATAAAATATTAGTAATTATGATACGTAAGTTAAAATTTAAATAAATATTCCATTTAACTATATAAATAAATAAAAAACCGATATCAATTACTTCAATGAATTCTCTCAAATTATTATGTTTTTTATTCTACACTCACAGCCTAACTTTTTACGTTACTATTTCTGTCTTTTTCAATTTTACATTTAGATACCCATCAAAATTCTTTATAAGTTCGTCCCCTGTCATAAAGTTTCTTTTTATTAGTAACAAACAGCATACTAATACAAGACTTACTTAAACTTTTTAACGCGCTGATATCGGGTGTTGTAGTCTTTAACTAACTCTTTTCAAGTAGTTTTAAAAGTCATGTTATGTTAAATTTAAAAATGCTGATGTAACCAAGAGCCTACATACTTTTCTGGAATATTTCATGACGACAATAATAATTCGGAGTCTCGGTGGAATAGAATAGTGTTTCAGGTTTAAGTTGTATTAAGTATTCAGTATGTATCAAAGGCTGCAGACTATAAATAAATAATCATAAGGAGTGAAGTCTTAAAAAGTTTTTCGAACACCGTAATAACATTTATTTTTGGGAAAAAGTGATTTATAATTTAAAGTTAACCTTAAAATATCAATGCGATGTAGCAAAATATACGGTCCTTTTTTTTTTACGAAATTAGTTTCATGAAATGTGAATTTTTATTATTATTTTTTTCATACTCAAAGTATATTGATATATTTTAAATATCTCAGTTGTAATAACTATAACAAAAACAGTAATAACTTAAACATGTTTGGAAATTTCAAAACAAACAAAAAACATTACTTCCTATGGTTTTCACCGTTTTAATAAAGATATCACAATTAATTTGGATTTAACATTATTTACTAAAAAAAAGAATACTGGGTTTAAAAATGTATTGTATAAGTATTAAAAAAATATGTCTCTAAAAATCCATATTATTCCTAAATTTATTTTTTCCTTAGTTTTTTTCGATACAAGACCATTTTACTGTAAAAGATAATATCTAACCTAACCTATCCTGTTATAAAAAATATTTCCCATACCCCATACATATTAAAAACTAAAAAAAAAAATGTCGCTGTTTCTGCACACATTTTTTGGATAATTTAAAACACCTACGACTACATTATATAACATGGACCATATTAATTACAGTATCTTGCCCCTGTATGTTCACTAATATTCAAATATCATAATTTTATAGTCTATATAAATTATAATAATACTAATTCGTGTGATAGATAAAACGAAAATATATCTATACAAATCGTCATTATAAAAATATAATATTATGTTGATACTGATTGTAATTTAAATATAGTTTTGTGGATTATCAAATATTTTTTACTCGAATACTTACTACAATATCTACTTTAAGCAATTGTCCATGGGAAATGGCCTTTCCTTATAATTTAACTTTTGCACGCTTTAACTGGGCAGAAAATATTCAGATTAACTAGTACAACATATGTATCGTAAATAGAACAATTTTTTACTATGGCATATCTCTGTTTTAAGAAACGGATATTTTTTTAGGCAAGATTTTAGGAGAAATAAGTTTTAGTTACCTAACTTTTCACGTGAAAGGTTAAGTAAACAAAAAGATAAATTTCCTATGAAATTCATATTAAACAGTGACCTACTAAAAGGAAAATATACATTCATATACGAATATACATTCGGGGATAGACCTACTGGGAAATCGAGTTTCCTCGAAGCGGCCCTGTTAGTATTTATTTGCAGTTGCGGTTATTTTGCCCGGATCTCATAAATATATTTCATTTATTTCTTGTTTTTATGAATAGTATGGTCGTTATGTGCGAATATTTATTATACCGTATGATCGATAATTTAAAATAAAATACAATCATTTTCTCTGAAAATAATAGTTTTTTTTTAAATTAATCCCTATGGATTAATCTTTGTTCGCGTTATTTAATTTTTCAATCCATTGAATATAACATGCTTTATTAAATTCGCGTAGCAAAACAATTACATTTTAAAAAGCACGAAAAACATTTGAATTGTTTGACAATGTAAAAATAAATGTTTTCTACTACATCACAAACCTTTACATAAAGCTCATATTACTAAGGTTGTGTAAAACTAGTATTATACATTATTCAAATTTGTATCTTTGTTAATGTTTCCTGTCGATCTATCAAATGTTGAAACGTAAAATGTATCATATAATATTTAATTAACTTTTTAAAGTAAAAATAATTTATTGAAAATTATGAATGGTCAATAACCAGTTTTAAATATTTATATTTAAATAATTATTTTTAAAGTTGTTAGAGTATAAAATTTAGGACAGGAGTTGGAGTGCGATGAGTATGTGCGTAGACAAAATTAACTCTACACTCCACCAAAAATGTCAATCGATAACGAATCCCCATTACTGTATTAATAAGCATATGGGTAAACTAAAGCTGAAGCTCTAAATTAAGATTTTGTTCTGAAAAATTGCTGATACTTTACGTCTAAACAAATAATTGGGGTGTATCACAATATGGTCTTAACTAGAAAACTAGTGTTGGGGGGTTAAATAATCACCCGGTATAACTTGTACACGGTTATCACCGTAGCTGTAAACGTTAGTCACGCTTATACCTACGCTCCCCTCAAATGTGTACATTCGGCTAAGAGCAAACACAACAGTTGACATTCGAATTCGGATGATGGTCATACACACACACGTGTGCCAACAGTCGAGTTAACTGCTGTACGGACTATTGGCATTACATAGGATATATACGGGACAATATAACAGAGCAATAAGAAAATAATGCCTTGTCTGCGCGTATTATGGTTGTACGGACGGCACCCTCTTTTTGGCGCGCCAAGAAACTACAACAAAACGGTATGGAACAAACCGTAATTTGGTTTTACCATAGAGACGTCGGCGTTTCCGGGTGAAAGGGACACCGGCGGTACAGGGGTTGCTGCCGGCGACAAGGGGTAGGTTTTCGGAGGAGAGGGGAAACGCATAACACAATAAAAACTAGCTGTTTCGAGGGTCGTGCGCGCCGGTTGTTAATGTTCTTGCAGTGATAACGCACATAAAAACCGACCGGTATGTATGCGAATCTCGGACGGAATTGAAGGGACTGTCGGAAAAGAAAAAAAAAAATTAAGAAAAAAAGTAATCCCCGGTATGGTTTTCATGTCGGGGTTTAGGTACGCTACTTGCGTGATTTAAGCAGCAAATAGTACGGTGGAAACGACAGATTAGAATTCAGAAAAGAAACGGTATTAAACAACGTGGACAGTAAAAAAAAAGTTTCGTCGTCTTCTCGGTATACACGTTTTGTTGAAAACTGCAACAGTCACATACCGCAGGGAAAGGTTAGACGTACACTATTATGTATTAAGTATTTCAGTAATTGCATTCAAATATGCTTCACTAGCGTTTGGATTATGTTTTAAATTAAATATTCCGAAACAGTATAACCTGTCGTGAAAGCAATCCCGTGAGACCAACATATTTTTACCGCGAATGTCAGTTTAACTGAATATTATACGGAAATTGTCCGTCTTATGAAGTAAATTTGTTTCTTGGGGCGTAGAATTTTCGTTTAATTAAAATTTAAGCGGATTTATGTATAGCCGTTGAATAATAAGTTTAGGGCACTGAAACGGATATGTGAAATGTTACATTTAACAGGATATGAGTGAAGGTGGCAAAAAGGGGAATAATTTAAGATAACATAAGCGTAGAAAAGGTAGGCGGTTGTGATCCTTCCAGACTTTAGGTATCGTTTAAGCTTTCACAGAATGTTGGTGAATCCATTAAAACTTACTTAGGGATTAAAAACCCCGTGTAAACTCAAATGCTAATGCGCATTAATTTTAATACGTGTGAATCAAGTAAATTGTTTCATTAGTGATTAGAGTAGGTAAATAAAATAAGTGTAGTTTCTCGTTTCGTTATGTTTAAGTTGGGATATGTTTGCATAATGTTATCAGTACCACAATTGTGATCAACTAGTTTTTAGTGAATTTCAGTTATATATTATATCTATGATTCAGGCTTGGTTTCATTGACTACAAACTGAAAACATAAATTGGAATTGACTATTGGGAAATCGGAAATGGATAACAACAGGTTGTCAGCATTGTTTATTCTAAAATAATAATTGTGGTCACTAAACATAAATTACCATATTTAAGATGGTATTTTCTAGTCACTGATGGTAGGTGCTTGACGTTAGTTTTATTTGATAAAATACTTACCACTTGGGCCTGCTGGAACTTCTCACCAAGGGTGTCATCCCAAACTGATACAGATTATTGTTGTTGCTGATGTTTACTATGTTGAAGATGACGTTCTGCGAAAAATAGATTAGACTGAAAAAATTAACGCTTAAACGAACGGCATTATTTTTTATTGGTGGATTACCAGTAGGTATTTTTGTGTTTCCTAACAGCTATTTTGGAATAATAAAAAAAAAGCGTCATATTATAAAACACGGACTTTGCCAGCCTATCCGTATTCTATAATATTTTAAAAATTTAATATATTTCCCAGCACTACACATAGTACTTCACAGTATAAAGCGCACGTGTTTCGATAACCGTTGCGTGGCTTGTCAGTTTCTTATACGTAGTAAAGGAAATGTCCTCTGAATATTTTAGGGTTGGACGAACGCTTGGTTATGAATAATACATAAAAGGTATACGCATATTTCGCTTTATAGAAAACTTTAATTTATAATAAAATAATATACTTATTTCAAAGTAATTTATCTCGAGCAAGGAAAACGTTTGTGCATTTGGTAATTGTTTCTAAACAATTACCTATTAGATTTAACACTACAGTCTGAGTAGATTAAAATCATTTTTACTATCTATATCTATACATGTATAACATACCTTTAAGAGGTATGTTAAATTAGGTAATAAACACGGGTTTTCTTTAGCTAATGAAACATAGCTGTTACATTTATAATTTTACTGACAACGGCTCAAAATAGAGATAAACTCTGAATAGTTTACATTATATTATTATACATATTTCGCATATATTTACTGACTTGGTCTTGCCTGGTGTTTTCCACTACAAAGTTGAACCATAACCGATGTCGCGGATTGCAAGTATCCGGTCTTATGAACAAGTCGTACTCGAATTCGGACACCAGATCGATTCTTCCTAAATTACCTGGACAAAAAAACCAAACTTTAAAATGAAATTTAATCTATCCGAAGAAACGTATCTAATCTCTTTTAATGGGAGAAGTGGATGGATTATGTAGACAGTAGATTTTAATATGTGCTGAATCAACTTTTGACTTAATTAGTCATATTGTCGTTAGGTAGATAGTAAAAAGTAAGTATGTAGCGAAAAAATAGTCAACTGTTGCAGAATTTATTTGTATTTTTCAAAATTCAATAGATTTCCACAGTGTATTTGAAAAAATATTTATTAAAATAATCTTAGAATATGGCACTATATTTTAAACATGTTAACGATTTTAGTTGTATTAAATTATAAAGAACACAATAGTCGTTCAGAAGTGTACAATATTTAAGAATATATCAGTAAGTAATTTTATCTTAGGACGACATGATCTAGAAAAACACATCGTTTCAAAAGAATGATTCGTTGAATATTAAAATATAATTTAGTATCTATATTGCCAATAAAGTAAAATATACCAGTTTCGAATGAAGCGTCAAAACACAAATGACCTTTTTTTGCTTTGCCACTGTGACCGGGAGGTCGCATGATCATCCTGGTCACATTGCCCAGTCCAGATTCCCCTTCGTCACTGTCTGTGAGATAAAAAACAAAATATTAATATTGAATCCACATATTCAGTCCACTCAAGGTGAATTAATAACCATCTACAAAAATGTAAAGTTGACAAAACGGGTTTTTTTTTTAAATTGTTATTTTATTGATCGTTTTCAAAATAACATAAACACATTACACAGTGATTTATCTTAAAAATACTTCTAGATAATATACATTTTTTTTTCAATCGGGTGTTTACCCTAATTAATCAAAAAAGTAATAAAATACAGCGTTTGTAGCAACCAAAATAAGTTATAGTTTCAGTTTAAAAAAAATACCAGCATTTAATAATTATATATTTTATAACATGAGAAATGATGAGAACATTACTAATGCACACTTAACAAAGATATATTTGACAGTTACAAAAAAGTTGCAATACTCTACGAAATTGCAAAATATTAAACTAAGAAATATTGACACTGAATTAATATCATGTAATCTACTACAAAGTCGGTTTATCTGAGGTATACATAAATTTGAAATTATTATAAGGTTCGCTGCTCAGACTAGTAGAGATTAAATTGAAAAGAATTAGTAATTGTCAGTTATGAAATCATTTAAAAAAAAAAACACTTAATTCGGAAGGAAAACGATATTTTCTGATTAAAACCTAAACAATATATTATTTAGGACGGTAAACATATTTTCGTACGTACCGACTGGATTTTCAAATACTATGTTGATATTTTAGTTGTTAAAAGTAAAATTAATATTCGGTTTTATTGAACACTATTTACCGGACCCACCTTTCTCGAACCGTTTTGGCCTTTGGTCGAAATTTTCACGGAAATGTTAAAGGGTGCAAAACGGACCTGATTAAAATTCATACGGACGACCATAGACGCGCTGAAAGTTATCCGGAAAATCTACAAAGGTGTTTTCCAATCAGGTGCTCGCGCGCTTGTAAACAATACACATGCCTAAGTACATCATAATATAGCACGTGCGCTGGTTGCCCGTTCAGTGTAATCCCATTGGAAGTTAAACTTTCATTTATTGCGTGGTCGTCTTTTAGTTCTACGCCAAGTGCTTACAAATTTCTCGTGCGAATTTTGTTTTATTTCAACCAGTTTTTATTGTTTTTTAGCGAGCTTATACGATTGAGTAGTTAAACGATTTTGGTGCAATTTGACGAGTCGTTGCAAGTGCATAATCCGATTTGATTGCTAATCTACATGTTAGGTACTACCAGATTCGTAATCGGCCATCGTCAAGGCCCCGGTTCTGTTATGGTCGCAGACGGTTGTAAACGGCACAAACAAACGTTGTTTCCGATCGAACTAACTGTTCAGTGTTTCGACACACGTCCGGCCAACAGACATGTTTGTTACCATGACGTTAAGTTCTACTGTGAAGGCGGTGCGGCGTTCCGCTCGATTTAAACTTGCACCTGTTACCGTCGTTAGAGCAATTTTCGACGTAGACATCTTGTAAAAACTAAAGATACTAAACCTCTTTCAAAGCGACATAATATGTAATCCCTAAGTGTCGCACGGGTTTCAGTTTGACGCGATGAGCAAACGTATCTTTTCTTCGCGGTGCGCTGGCAGAAAAACTTCTCCAGCCGTCACACGTTGCAGATTACCGTGCCAATGTAGGTATAAGTCAGCATTCTATAAACATTAATTTTCAAACACAAATATTGGATTAAGAATCTCTCCGAAAGGGCAAACGACATGGTCTTATTTGAATTTTTTTATATTAAGGCTGTACTTAAAAAGCCAAGAGCAGTTAGAAATAGTTACTCACGCGGACTGTGTTTGCCTGGCAAAAAAAACAAAAATAATAACTACCAAGAAAGCGGTCCTCGTTGGTACGCTAACATGGTTAAAATAAAAGTTAAGCTTTAAATTAATTGTGTGGGAAAAATTGCCTATGTACAGCCCCTTAAAAGTGGTATGTTATGCGTCACAACTATTAGGTGCTGTAAAAAAAATAAAAATGAATTAAGTATTTTCTCAAGACATTAGATTAATCTCATAACTCGTGTCTTTTGTTTCATTCGCGGTGGATTGGTATTGACTTTGGGTCCGTTTCAGTATCCATAAATAGTGTCGGTTTAATAATAGTGCATCAGCCCCTGATGTGAATTTGTGTATCTATTTGTTACTTGTTTATTTGCATTTGTGTATCTATTTGTTACTTGTTTATTTGCATTTGTGTATCTATTTGTTACTTGTTTATATGCATTTATTCGTTACTTTGGACTCTCATAATATTAACATTAATGCGTCGTTCGTGTGAAAACTTAACATCTGCTTGTATGGTTAATTTATAACACCGAGTATGTGCGAAGTTTACCGCAAACAGGGGTTTTCCCAAATTCGAGTGATACTATTAATTGCGCTGTCGCCATTCGACGGACGGACAGGAAATGGCTGGAATTTGCGCAGAAATAAATAAAAGTGTTTTGGCATTTGACAACGAAGAGCAGAGTTTATCGACCCTTTTGAATTTCACCCCTAAAACACATTTATCAAGTCACGTCGTACGAGATATATTTTTATTTAGGCTTCGAGTATAGTATAACATGATCCTCCGTCGAAAACTTCTAGTAAAACAATATTCTCGGATTGACTCTCGAAGCCGTGGTAGTTCATATTGTGTTATTATATTAATTGTACATATTTTGGTATTAATTGTAGACGCCAATTATGGATGATTCATGTGTATTCATTTAATAAACGTTATTATGGCTCGACATTTGTAATGATAACATAAGACTTTTAGTTGAAGAATACTATAATTAGAAATAATAAAAAAATAATTATTCACATAATGTAACTAAATAAATATAACCAATGAAAATTATATATAATTAAATGGAAAAGCCAGCGTTAAGGTACAAAATAACTTATTTGTTATTTTGTGGTTAAGACGAATTCAATGATATATTATGTGGGTATGTTGGGAAATAATTGCTCAGGGTGATGAGCTGCACACGAATCAGTTAATATATAATTTAAATAGACATTGGACGTGTTAAAATTATTATTTTTTCTATTTTAATAGCTGTTATTAGTTAACTTAGATTTGATACATTTTTTGTTATCTAAATATTACCCTATCATTCATGTGTTAAAACCCTATGAACCTATAATCTTTTAAAACGGTAACACATAATACATATGATTACACTTTTAAATTAAGAACAGAAATTTTTTACTAAACGATAACTAGTTTTGGATAATTATTTGCAAAGTTATTAATGTTAAAAACTAAGAACAGCAGTAAAGGTGAAGTATAGTATTATTTTCATGTGTACCCTATGAACTTGATATTTTTTAAAGATTCTATTACAATAACATCCGCCTTCGGGCTTTAAATTGTTGAAACTCGACAAAATATGTTGTTCCATTTTTTTTTCAGATCAATTATTGGTATGAATTATAGGCGCCGGTGGTTTAGGGTATTCAATTGGAGTAGTTTATCACAGCCGACGGTGAAATATTCATTTCGGGCCTCGACGATAAAACGGCGACGGGCGGTCGGCGAATTTTTGGGGGAATCGTAAATTGATATTGTTTTGTCCCCTTTCGGCCGCCCAAAATATACGACTACCGACGGTCTCGGCCATTGTGCAAAGTCTTGGCATTGATTTTGCAGTGCGCCAAACGCTGTCTCCGGCAAAGACCCTCGCCCTGCTCGTCTCATTAAGCACAATGCCATATAGATACCCAGACGACATTACCATGTATGTGTGGAGGGGACGACGATCCGTTTGCTTTCTGGTCGTCTGTCTCTGATAAGATATGGAAGACGTCTCGCCATTTGTCTTATCTTTGTGCCATCAATTGGAGAACGAGCTGGAAAATTGAAATTTCCATAGGCGATTTAGGTGCTCGAGTTTTTTAAACTAGTTGACTGGCAAGCTATACGAGAAGGCTTTCGAGAGTTGAATATGATACTCAAGATAGTAAAAAAAAAAATGTATTAGCAAAATATGTGTTTGTTTCCGGAATAAAAACGATCTGGGAAACGTTGTGTTTCGAACGAAATGTGATGTGAAAATACCTCTTGGAAAAATAAGCGGGATGCACCCAAACCTGGGCATTATTTAAATAATTTTTTACTAAAGCAAAACAAATACATTTTTATTTTTATTTGAACGAATTTAAATAACAAATAAAACAATTATTTTGATGTTTAGTTTTTTCAGAGAGACAAATAAAAATAGGTTATTTAAATTTATAAATAATGTAAATTATTTCAAATAAAAAAAAAATGGTTAATGCGCTAAATGAAAATGTATTTTGTAGCTCGTTATTATTTATTATAATTGAATAAAAATTGCCCAGATTTGGTTATATCATTGACATGGACTAAGCACCCTTTAGAAATGGGTCGATTTCCTTATTATTTCACTAGTCAGTTATTAAATACATATAATAATATAAATAGTACATCAATTCTTCATGAAAAATACGTGTACCTTTTGTAACAAAGTGAAAAATTACAATTTTTTCAGTTATTTTTATTTCGTGTAAATAAGATTGCGTTTTGACTAAAAAATACATTCTCCGCCCGATTTACCAAAAGAATAAACTCGATTTTCATAAAAATGTACAACGTGCATTTGTGCGAATCTTCTAAATTCGTTTGGTTGAAATGTATAAAACGTACTTATTGTTTTATCATATCTGCGAGTGTAATACAACACGTTATCATTTAATTTCGTTTAGTCAGTATACACTTTTGGGGGGAGGGGTAGAAACCCTGACTCGATAAATGCAGGCAGATAACAATAACGCGAAGGCTACGAAGGGCGTTTAACGCAGCGATTTACGGTGCAATAACATTTGCATAATTCGTCCGGGCGTTATCTAAATTGCAAAAAAAAAAAACACAATAATCATAACAATTTGACGATAACATATTTATTATTATATCCGTCGACTAACCGGCGCGTTCCTCGAATAACTCTCCGAGGGCTATCGATTACCTACCATAGGCGAAGGCAAGCCCGTCATTATCTGTGTTAACGACCACGTCGGTCCCCATCATGTGATTATGCCAATGAAATTGTTAAACCCTGACAAAACAACACCTCGACACGTACTACATATATAGAGGTCGTTCGCCGTTCACGACCTGCCATAACAATCGTTACGTGACAGTATGTCGATAATGTAAGTATACCGTATTATACTTGTACAGGGTGATTGGCTACTCAAGACCCGGTTAATATTTTAAAAGATACTAGATTGTTTTTAAAAATTATTCCTTCTCACACTTTTATATAGTTCTTAGTTAGCCCAATTTTGATATATTTTTCAAAATTACTATCCCATCCCTTGCGGTTAAAACCATACAAACTGTATAAACTGTTTAAACGGCAACGCATAACATATATTTTATTAACTTTTTAAATTAGGAACAGTTCGCCGAAATTTTTGACTGGTCGATAATCAGTTTTGGATAATAACTTGTTAAGTTATTAATGTTAAAAACTAAAAACCGCAGTAAGGGTGAAGTATAGTGTTATTTTATCTGTGCGCGTTACTCAACCGCACTTCACCTCCCGTCCTAAATGTTTATTTTAATATAAAGTGATTCATTAGTAGTTTGGAGAACAGGAAATGTGTATTTTCGCCGGAAACTTTGTTATTGTAACGATGTGAACTTATTCATCGAAAACGTGTTTTACGGGAAAAAGTTTCACGTCCCGTAGAGTACTCTGATTTGTATTATTATTATTTTTTGTAAAGAAAAATACTCCCAACAGAGCGTTATGGACTTATTGTTATAGTTTTTTTCAGAATTTCATTTATAAACGTGATAAAAAGTTCGAAACTGACAATTGTCTATACATAGCAGCTGGGCAAGTTAGTGATTTATATTGACTTCGTCAAGTTGTATAAAATGTCATTGATAAAGTTACAAAATACAGTTAAATTCAAATATTTTTTAACTCTATTCAACGCCTCTAATTATTGTTAATTTGAAAATAGAAAACAAATTTAACCTTATCTTTTTAATCTTTTAACCCCTTAAAATCTATCTTTTATTTAAGGAACACTATACAACTTTTCTATTGAAAATCCGATTAATAAAATACTCTCGGTCCCATCCTATATCAGTAATAAGAACTTCGAATAGGTGTGGTTAAGCGATCCAAGTCAATTTATGTACCCACACAGACGGTATGTAGTAAGTGCTTTAAGTATCTTTTTTGGAATAATCGGTTTATATTTTAGTAATCGTGAGCACCGGTCAATACATGAAATATTTATCTTATGTCCTGTAAACGGACGTGAGATTACCTGGGTTTAGTG